CAGTAATATTAATAACGAGTTTAATTTTCAAATTGAAGTTTAATTTTGTTCCAATAATTATAGGCAAGCAATTGCCTACATTTATTGTAGCAAAATTCAACAAAAATTTTTTAGAGCATAAAATGTGCTATATATAGCATTTGCATAAGGTGACAAATTTCAGGAATGATTATTTGATCAATTTCGAACAAAAAATTGTATGGATAGTTTGGGGGGGGAGGGGGGGGAGAGGAGAGATATACTCGTTTTCGAACTACAGCCTGTTGAAAAAAAGTTACCAGATTTTTCTTTTATATGTATGTTTACGAGTATAACTTCGGAATCATGCATCTTAAAGTAACTATTGGTGGCTTGTTTTACGGACGATTGATTCGTCTTTATTTTCGGTCTTATACAATCAAGCATGGTTTTTAAATACATTTAACACGTTTTACTGGTAAAACTATGAAAGATAGAGAAAAATATTTTATGGGTTAAGTTTTAATTCTCATTGTGGCGCATCAAAAAAACCAAAAAAAATAATAGGACAAATTTTTGATAAATTTCGAGTTTTAAAAAAAAATTAAAAAAAAAAAACCAAAATTCCGACTTTGGCGAGTTTTATTTCGAAAACTATGGATCTTCTTCCAATTTTTTTTAATATGCATACACATTCATATACATTGCTCATACGTGTGTATAGAAAAAAAACTTATGTACATACAAATATATGAAAAAATTCGAAAAGGTGCCTTTGATACTATACTTTGCGTGAATGAGTTAGCTCAAACGATACTCAATTAGCTTTGTTTCTATTACATTATATTTTACTCGAAAATATTGCAAATACCACACAAAAGCTCTTTTTAAAACTGCAAAAATATTTTTTTCTTTTATATTGATCTAACCTTTTCAATTTGGATACAATAGATAAACGAATATTCATCAGTATTAGAAATAAGTTTTGCATTGTCTTCCTCTTTTTTCGACCCTGTTTATACAATACTTTACATTTCGGCGCATATAACGATTTTACATTTTGGCGTATATAAAGAGAAATAATCAATCAATGTGTTTGAATTTGAATATTTTAATTCGAAAACCTTACTGGCTCCGATTTTACTTTTTTGACCAATCCAAACGGATTGATGGAATTTCTTTAAATTTGAGTAGCTAAATGGTGAACCTTTCAGGGAATTCGAATGGTACCAAGCTAAATTCTATATCAAGAGCAAAATTTACACTTTTCTAGGTATGCTACTTTTAGTTAGTTACTTGCTAACTTTTTTTAAACTTAAAGGAAGTGTTCAAAAGGTATTTTCATAATCTTCTGCAAAACTTTGACTAAACTTAGGTAATACACATTTTGGTCGGTTATGTGCTAATTATATAAGATTTTTTTGACATGGTAAAACATACCACAGAATTTTTAATTGTTTAAAGTTTTACGTTCATATTTTGGAATTTGTTCTTATGCGAATGCAATTGATATTGAATTAATACTTAACTGCCCTCTTGTAGATTTCTCCAAACCAGCTTCTGAACGCGTAATTTTAAGGCGTTTAATTTATCAATGAAAAATAAAAAATAAAGTTTTTATACGAGTAATAAAATTATGGTTCACCAAGTTTGATTGAATTTTGATGTTTTTTTTGTATTCTATTCTAACAGTTTTTCAGCCAATTTATTGGAATAATTTCAAGTTCATATTTGAATAATTTTAACAAGAAAAAATTATGTTGCTGCAATTATAGTAAAAAAAATCAAATTGCAACGTCATTAGAAAATGAAAAAGCCTTTTCGTTTTAGTGGTACATATTTTTAAAAGAAATTGAGAAAGCATATTGGTAAAATTTCAAGCATGCTAGTTGGCAGGTTTCATTATTTTTGATTATCAAGACGTTTATGAGAACAATATTAAATTAAAATTAAATTATCAAATTGAATACACACCTGTTTTAAGACTAATTTTAGCACCATTCTAAGAATTGAAACTGAGAAAATTGTGAAACCTTCATTATAATATATTTTCCCACATTTTTCAAAACAATTTCCATACAGGTGTTTGAATAAAATGTTGCCTTACCATATTTACCAGAAAAGATGGATTTTTTTGAAGTTTTCTTACTGAGTATTTTTAATGTCCGAATAAGCAGTCAGTATAAAGATGAAATGAATAAAGATATGGAGTTGGATATTAACAGAGTTTTTCAAATTAAAAAAAATAAAAAAATAAGAATATGATCAACTGTCGAAAATAAGTAAAACTTTTTTTCAGAACATTGTGTCAAACCGAAATCGTTTTCGAGCTACAGGAGTATTAAGAAAATTTTTAAGCAACTTCCATTTAAAAAAAAAGGCACTTCAAATAAACAATATTTGAAAAGTCTTATAAAGGCTTAAAGAGTAGGCTTATAAAAGGAGACATTATTTGGCTGTTTATGGCTTTTGGAAACGCAAGCATTCAAACTTGTTTCAAAAATAATTTATAGTTCTGGAGAAATACCAAAAAACTGTTTAAATTTCAAGATCTAAAAGGCTTTAATAAAAAACTTAAACTCAAAAAAAGCCACTGTTTTGTTTTTTATCAATTTAAGGTGCTACAATTCTTAATTATAAATAACTTTCAAAATAGTCATTCTAGATAGCAGTTGACATTTTTAAGAAGCCTTATTTTGCTAAGGAAACTAAACTTAAAAAAAACTAATAAAGTAATATTTTTGAGTTTTTTTATACAAACTGTGCTCTGTAGACACAAAAAAAAAATTTTTAAAGCATACAAGAAAAAATATTCGAAAACAGGTTTGCTCCATACAAACTCGACACTCTATATCTCATCAGCAAATCGAGATAAGAGAAAGCAGGTTAGATAGAAAAAATTATGTCATTCCATACCTATTGCCCCATTAATAAATCAAAAAACACAAAATTTGCGTTTGCAACACATAAGATGCACCAAAGATGCAATGATATCAAGTTTTTTTTTTTTGGAAAACTTAAAATTGTGAAATACATACTCGTATTAAGAAAAAGTTTTTCACATGTTTATATGTAAATAATGTTAATCACATAACGAAAACAAGAAAATAATGATTTGCAAAGTGTTTCAACAGCAAAAATAGTTCAAATCTTATAATGGAAATTGATGTTTTCAAAAAGAATTTGAATCATGTTCAAGCTTCATATGACTTTTCATATACACATACATATATATTTTGATTATAATTTGTAATTGTTATCGAACGCAAAGGGATCTGTTGATTGAACTTAATTTTTTTCCTCATATACAGGTTGTCAATTAATTTTAGGATAATTTGCATTTTTCGAATGTTTTTTAAACACATTTAACGCGTTTTGTTGGCAAGAGATAGAGATGGAGAAAAATGTTATACGGGTTAACTTTTAGATCTCATTGTAGCGCATCGTAAAAAACAATAAAGAAAAAAATAACATAAATTTGCGAGAAATTTTGAACAAAAATTCTGATTTTGACTAGCTTTATCTCAATCACTATGGCTCAGATCATATTTATTGTAAAGCAAGCCCCTGGTAGTAACCCAAAGTCGCGTTGTTCCGAAGCTATATACGTTTATTTATATATACAGGAAAAATCTGGTACTATTTTTTCTATATAGGCTGTAGGTCGAAAACAAGTATTACCCGTCCACCCCGCCGCTTTTTTTTTAATAATTATTCCCCTTTTTTTCAATTTTTTCCAGCAATACAATTTTTGTTGGATCAAAGAATCATCCCTGAAATTATTTGCCATCTTATGCGAAACACTCTGTATGTAAGCGAATTGTTAAAAATATTAATGTCATTCAACTTTCTTTTTTAAAATTTTTTTAACGCATTTAACACGTTTTCGATAAGTAGACAAAGCGAGGATAAAAACTCTAAAAAGAAATCATAAAGGATGAGAAAAAAAGATTTCAGATTTTAGTGTGCGAGTTGCAAAATTACGAAAGCTACATACTTTATATCAACAAATAGAAATAATAGGCTTTGTTAAGCCCTTTGTTAATATTTAGATCCATAATAAAAAGTCAAGATTTGATGGAATAAGAAAAATATTAAATTAAAATTTACTTGTAAAAATATAAAAATAAACTTATACATAATTTAATTTCTATAAATATAAAAGAGCACTATTATTTTCTAAATACAGGAGAATTGTTTTTTTTAAATTTAATTCTCTAAATTCACACTTCTACTTGATTTTTGGCATGAAATCAAAATATATATGTATATATAATAAATTATATATACATACATACATATGACATGAACATACTTATGTACATATTTTATTAAAAATTTAACTAATATTTACCCAGTTCAAACGCATGTACATACGTATTATACATACACATGTATTTGTATAAGCACATGTAGTTAAATGTATGTTATACATATATATAAATATATATAAATATGTATATTAATTTATTTATATATATAAATATAAATAAACATGTAACTTAACAAAAAAGCACGAGAAATAAACTTCTTCGAAAGCTTTTTAACGCGGCTGACGTCCAAAAAGCGATTTATATACAGACTGTCAATCCTTGAATTTGTTCAATCGAAGGATGAACGGTCACTTCCCAGAAAAAATTTAACGTTCAGCTCATTAAAATTAAACTCAGAATGGTATGTTTGTGTGAAGTGACCGTCCATCATTGACGGTCACTTCCCAGAAAAATTTCATACAGCCTATTAACATTAAAAGATATTTTTGTGTGAAGTTACCGTTAGTCAACCAGAAAAACGATGAAATGTTTGTGGGAAGTGACCGTCAATTAGGATTTTTCAATGGAATGATGATTTTTTTCTGGAATGACGTTAATCGTCCATCAATCCTATCAATGAAAGTTTAAAAAGTACTAAAAACTATATTATTTTGAAAAGAAATTATTTTAAACGACAGCAACGCCATGTATTTTCAACTTTTTTTTTAAATATTCTTACAAATGGTTTAAAACTTTGCTTAACATCTTTTTTTTATTTTATATTTTCAGGTTTGTATAAATTGTGGAACGATTTGAAGTGGAATATATTTACGTATGAAAGAAACATGGCTTCTTAAAGGATAAATTTTTAAAGACAATATGAGAATAATCTTAAAGAATAATTTTAAATACAATTAGAAATATGTACAAGCACACTATGTTGTATAAATAATACAGTGTAGGTAAATAATATTATGCGTGAGTGATGTTGTCATTTTCACGTTCTGTTTTAGCAGCATTTTGTCTTGAAAAAAGTAGTAGGGAGAGCTTTAGCACAGTATTTTGGACATATCATAAACAGAAAATAAAGATTTTCGGAAGTTCTCATTTTAGACATATGACTAAGAAAGCCCTAAATTTAATTTTTCAAAATTTTATTTGAATTTATAGGTATGCATCAACTCTTTTATGTAACACAAATAAGAAAGAAAACATAATTTCTGAAAAAAAAGTGCTATCGAAAAGTCGTTTTGTCAAAAATGAATTCAAACTTTTAAAATGAATTTTGCAAGAAAGATTTAAGAACATTAAAAACGGGCGGCACTCGTGCCACTGTCAGAAATTAACACATGCTCTTCGAAATCAGTTATTTGTTCGAAATTGATTTCAAATTAAATTTCGATTATGAAAATAATATTATATTTTTTGTCAATTTTTTTTTAATTATAAATAAGAGCAACAACTTTGGAACTAAATTTTGAAATGAATAATATGTACACATTATGTATTGCAAATTGATGGAACGAAGTAATTCAATTTATATTTATATTTTACAATTATAAATTGAATTACTCAATTGCAATACAGTACCACTGCTTTATATTAAAAATACAAATAACATTTTCATAACAAGTACTAAAAAAGTACTTGTTATGAAAGTAACAAGTGCAAAAAAGTACCACAAATCGTTTTGCAGTGCTATAAAATGTCAATATGTAGTAAAAAAGTACAAATATAATAAAAATAACCACACTGTGCGTGAGTTTTATATAAATGTAAATAGCAAATAGAGGAAAATTGCACGCATCTCCATTATACAGGGTGTTTCGCATAAGGTGGCAAATTATTTTAGGGATGATTCTTTGATCAATTTCCACCAAAAAATTGCATAGGTGGAGGGGGCTTAAATAATAAGTAATAATAATAACTTATAAACTATGGCTCAAATCAAATTATTTGTAAGAGCAAAACTAGAGAAAAATCAATCGTCTGTAAAACAAGCTTCCGACGATAACTCTATGTTTTATGATTCCGAAGTTATAAGCATTTATTCAATTTAAATGTAGGATAATATGAATGAAGAGTCTAATAGACATTACAAAAATTAGATAAGATGCACAAGAAAGCAATTTAAACAATTCATTTCTTTCTAAACAGACTTCCAACAAATAGATTTTACACAGACAGGTATCTCAGTCTGGACAACATTTGCAGACGTGAGCTATATTTGACGGCTTTCAAAACAATTAATAATAAAACAAAGCATAATTTCATATTGAATAGAATGTTTTATATTACTGATTATAATATATAATTTCCATCTAACTTTGTTCAGAAGAAATCAACAACATAAGCAACTTAAAAACTTTTAAGCATTCAAGTAAATGGTTTACTTAAATGCTTTAAAATTTTCAATGATCTTCCAGCAGAACCCAAAAACATTATTTTAATTAGTCATTTCAAAAACAAAATTAAAATTTTTACTTTGAATTTAGTGAATAGTGAAGATATCCATGATTTTAAAAATGCAGTTAAACTTAAAATAAACCGTGACTTCATGCGCTTACAGCGTAAACTTTACAAAGTATCACATTCTAAAAGGTTTATTTAAAGCTCTTGACATTGTACACTTTTCCTACATGTGTTCTATACGTAGTGGATACGTAAAATAAAAGTAAATCGGGTATCAAAAAATTGAGCACGCTTTTCTTCATGTCATATAAACGTCAGCAATAACCAATTAAATAAACTAGCATATATGTATTTTCAGCAATAAAGTGCTAGCTATTAAGTTTTTTTCCTAAAATGCAGCATAAGATTTGCATAGAACTTTAAATTGAAATTTTCAAGCAAGTATGTATTAATGTTGTAAAAGTTGTATTCTAAGTAGTTAGACTCGTTCCATTCCGTTATTTTTCGTTTGCTTGCCACTTCCAAAATCTTAAAATATTCCATTTTTCTTTAGAAATAGATGGTAATGAGATTGATGTAGGCAAGAAAAAAACAAAATATTGTAAACAAACGAGTGTATCAAAAACATTGAACTGAAATAAAATTAAATTAAGTTAGGTAAAATTTTTTTTTTTATTTTTCATTTCATAAAAGTTTGGTAAAAACATTCGAATGTATGAAAGTAATGGTTATAAATTTAAAATTTCATACTTTGTTATACGGTCCATATCTAAAATAGATACACAAAATTATGTAGTAATATGCATGTACCCCGTTTATATGGCTGCTCCAAACTTTTTATAATTTTTATCTAAATGTTACTTGACCTGAAGCCGGCTTCACTCAAGTCGCTTACTTGACTTGAAATGTTAATGATTGGAAATTTAATAGCTAAACGTCGTTTTTGGGCTTTTAAGCTAACATAGTAAAAACGCAGCTTGAGTTTCGAGCTGATATCACGTCAAGCCGCAATGTAGACGAAGCATAGAAATTAAGCAATTTATAAAAAAATGCCTATTACCGTGAAAATGAAAAAAAAAGCCATATACGCATGTATGTATTTTTATTCATAAGAAATATTTGTTTTAAATTTTTAAAACAAAATTGAAATAAAAATAAAAAAATTTATAGTTTATATTACAATAAAAGTAATGACAATTACTAATTACAAATTTTAAGTTTTTTGTTAATATTATTTGCCTTTTTTAAATTATATACATACACATAATATGTAAATTATAATTTTTTTTATTTTAATAGTCCAATTTTAAATTTTTTGAAATCGCTTCGCTTTTATAATATGGATACACCATTTCTGCCACCTTGTACTGGAATAAGTTACAGAAATAAAACTCCCGCTTTTAAAATTCTTAATATTTTTTCTTATACTTTATATACGAAAAAATAAATAACTCCCGCTTTTAAAAATACATTACGAGTATAACAGGTAGACATATAAAACAGGTAGACATCTATTGCTTACTCAATTTTTTGTATACAAATATTGGTGAGTGATGTAAACGCAGAGTCGAACTACTTGTTTATAGATATACTTTGTTCCAAAGTGTATTAAAAAGCTTTAGCAGTTTTTTAAAATGTAAAGGTATTGACAGCTCTGAGACGGTAGTAAAATCGTATTAATACTGTATTAATGTCTTTATATCTAACAAGCCCCAATGCTCAGAGAGAAACTTGAAAGCACGACCTTATTTTATATGGGTTTTTTTAAATCGAAGTGGCTATTTTTTGAGAAAAAATATTAAAAAAAATTAGCACTTATTATAAAGCAGGTAAAATTTAGAAAATATATTTGAAAAATCAAAAAAATATATTAATATTTTCATTCATAATTATTTTAAAATTCTTGAAACAGCGGAAAAACAACAAGCACTACCTTCGCCTTCAACGTTTTATATGTTACTGAAAGCATTTCATTATTTTTAAGTGAGCAGCTTTTTTTTTCTCATAGGGTAAGTTAACTCAAGATATGGGAAGTAACTGTGGTGTCAAGTTGAAAATATAATTCATGAAAGATAATTATTAAATATTGATATAAATACGTAGTAAAGAAAAAATGTGAAGAGGGAATTAGAAAATAATATTTAAAATACAATCAAATATTATTTTTTAAATACAAATTTTGTATACACTTCTAAATTTTACCTCTATTTGTGAGAAAATTTTAAAAAAAAATTTTTAAAAAAATTTTCTCACAAATAGAAATAAAAGTAAAAAAATATTTAAAAGGTTTTGGAAAAGACAATAATATATTTTTATGACCGGATTCGAATATCTTTTTTATTTTTGAAATAAATAGTATCTTACGAATAGCAAATGACTCAAAAACTCCGATTGTAAAATGACAGGTAGTAAGTACAGATGTAAATTTTTATCTGTTTGCATTTACTATTAAGATTCATGCACAGGCAGGGCCATTTTATAAATAGATTACTCTTGTTTACCTGCTAATAAAATATGAAAGAAGTGCACAACAAAATTTTTTAAGCACTCAATATAACATGTTTGAAATAGTTTTAAAATATTTATAATATTATAAATAAAATTTCATTTTTTTTAAAAGGGGAAAAAATTAAGTTTTTTATTAAAATTAAGTTATCTATAGAATAAATAACAAAATGAGTAGATTTATGAAATTTATTCTTTTGTTAATTGGTTTATACATTAAAATTGTTGTAGAAATAGAAAGTGTCATTGTCTTAATGTTACGAAAGTTGTTCAAATAAGTAACAACTGCAATATTTTTTTACAATTCGTTATATTGTGTTTTCGGATCGTAAAAACAGATACTGGGTTCAAATTTTATAAGTGTGAAATTTGAGAAAAATAATTCAAAATACTATAATATTTCTTCCATAAAGAAGTTCCTTTTACCACTTTCAGGCAAAATTAAATTTCATACTTCAATCGGATTGATAAAATCACCATTTTTCTCTTATGTATCTGGGTTGAATCTTTTTCACTAGTATTACTAAAACAAATGGAAAAATTGTATTTATTATTTTTTTCTGGTTTTGATTTTTTATTACTCACGAAACTTTTATTCGTATAAATCATAAGTTCTTCCAAAAATTCTAATTAAACATATAAATTGTATATAACACTCGCAACTTTCTTTCCCTCACTTTTAAAATTAAAAAAAACTTTGCCAAGGTATGATGATTTTTTAATAATCATCATTAATAGCATTAATACACAAAAGCAATATAATTTGTATTATAAGAAATGTTGTTTAAACACTTTGTATAAGTTCCTACCTTTTGAAAATACCGTCTTAAAAATTGAAAATTGAATTCAAAAAATTCTGAACAGACGTTTTAAATACGTTTTTCAACTCTCGTTTAACATTTTCGATCATAAGACATTGTGTTCGAGATGTCTTTGAGACATTTACGATGGGATATTTACTTGTTAAAAACTTCCCTTTGAACGTATTACAAAAATGCATAAAGCTGA